ATTTAAGTTGTCTTTCCTTGCCACTGTCGAAAATAGTTTATATCTTGTTTGAGAACCGCTGCGTTACCGCATCGTCAGCCTGACGCGGTGACGTCAGCAGCACGGCCCGTCAGCTGGAGCCGGTCATGGATAAACCAATGCCCTCTGTAATTTATGTTAATTTATATACATGCGGGATATAAAACCAAAACCCACGACTGATACCTATTGATTCAGACTGTTCAAAAACTACTTAAGAATAGAAAATAGAGATGAAATAGACGTAGTTCTATTTGTGATAGATTTTTATTACTTTTACCAACGGCAACGTCATTAAAAAAATGGAAAGCATCTTATGACAGCATTCGCAAGTATAATAGTAATTTGGAGATACCCAAACATGCTCAAAAGATCTTCAGGCAGCATATTGTAAATTGTGTCAGTGCTCTGCTGCACCATGAGTTAGTAACATATCAACTGATGAATAAAGTTAGTTGCGTATACTTTACAGGACGTTGCATACCCAACCCTAACAGCCCCTGGCTGTTGTGTGGTTTCTCTAGGCAAAATTACGTCCAGTAGTTTGAACTCATAAATAATCCGGGTGCTTTATATCCTACCCCAGATGACGTCACAGGACAGTCAAACATTTTAGAGGGTGGTAAGACAAAGTTTCCCGATTTTTGATGTTTTTACCGACACCAAAACATATAGAACTGGCTCTAACCCCAGCCCACCTACATCCCACGAGAGAGTGCAGCCTAGGTCCCACGACTGCATGCAGCCTAGGTCCCACGACTGAATGCAGCCTAGGTCCCACGACTGCATGCAGCCTATCTACCACCCCCTGAATTATTAGACTGTCCCGTGACCTGTGGATTTCCCCTGTTTTGGGTAGGATATTATTAAAACACCAAAATCCGAAATCTGGGTGTAACCAGAGGGGTCTGACCGGCTCACTACACTCAGAGGAAAGGCAAGAAGGACCTTTAACCAGATTGTGACCTGTACCATCAGTATTAGAACTCTGCGCTGGTTGCTGAAGATTCGGACGGAGCATGCGTGGAAATACCCCGAGTGCTGTGATGTCAATTCTTGACTTAACTCACCTCAACTCAAAATCCGAAAAACATAGGACAAAAACTCCATCAAAAAGCCAGTCACAGCTCATTACAACAAAGTAATTATAAAATTAAGGCAGCCGAGTATTTGCTGTAAGCATGACCTGCCATTGTGCAATACGCACAGCTGATCATCTAAGTGAAATCATTAGCGCACACAGGAGCACATACAGTTGCATAGAACTAAACGATAATGCACAATAACAAATATATCGTTTACACTTAAGCTGTATCTTCCACCTGTTCTAGTGAGAATAATCATCATGTAGCAGGTGCTTTGCAGAACGTCGCTCTTATCACAGTCTGCCTGAAAGAAACTCGGTCTCTCGCCAGTTCTCCTGCCTCATATACTTTCATACTCAAGGAGTCACTTATATCCTGCGCCCATCTTCGTGTCGGTCTAGTGAGGATACAGTGAGGAATTTTATCTAAAGCTTTTGATGTGAAGTGAGTACAATGTAATATTTTATTTGGCGTTTTCTGGCGTATTTTGGGTAGAATTTTGGCTTAAAATTAAGCTATTTATCTGGCAACACTGGTTTAGTAAATTTATGTCCTACAGCACTAGTAGGATGGAACTGGCTGATATCAAGTTTTGTTAAACGTTTCTGTATATTAACTCGCTGCAGGATTGAGAATGCAGGTTTGTACCCTTTTCTGTTGTTTTGCAAATCAAATTATAGATGCAGTATTATTATCTTTCATTACCGACCCAAGATAATCAGAGTGAGAGAGCGACTTTAAAAATGTAAACATCAACACTGAACACTCACACAGACTCAACTGACTGGACTCCAGCAGAGTTGAAATTAAAATAAATAGTAAATACTGTAGTTCATAAAACAAATATGTATACGTTTTTTTTTACCATAATGATCTATCAGCATCCACGAGACCCATTGTGAAACACACATTCTGATCTTCATCATCTACTTCAGTTTCTTGCGATGCACTATATTTGATGGCACTGCAAAATAAATGAGCAACGCTTCAGAATCCTCCACTAAGTCTAATGAACAAAGTAATCGCCGATCTCACCCCATCCAAATAACTACCCTAGTCTGTCCCAACAGTATGCACCAGGCCTGGCGTAGCAGATTCTTCATCAGTTTACAGCCTTTCTTGAAACATTTGCATCAGGCTTCTTTCACTCTTGTCTTTTATATGTACATTTGTCACAAACAGTGCCAGTCTATGATGAAGGTAATCTGATCATCTTTTGCATCTAAAGAACTGAACCGCTGTTGCAGATCCACAATTCATAGATTTGATATGATACACAATGTTAATGATCTGCAGCACAACCTACTTTGAGAATGCACAAGTTTCAGTTTCACATATTCACTGGTTTGCTCTAATTACAAGTGTAAGGTGTCATCATGCTCCACTTAAGCTTTCCAGCCCGACACAGCAAAGTTTGGTGGTTTTATTTGATCGGGCCTCATATTTGTATAGGAAAATAATGGAAAACACTGCAGTTGCAGTTCCAGCTTAATAGCAAACAGGTCCCCTCATAATTGCTTTTTTCCTGCGCCAATCACAACCACACAGAATGTCTATCATTGTCCCTTGTGAAACAGTTGACACAAGCTGCAATCCTACCAAAGCCAATAGTATACACCAGTGATTCCCAAACTGTGCACCCCGGGGAGCAGCGACCTCTTCACAGGGGCACCACGAAATATAGTAAAAGCTTCATAATTAATTTAACCAAGACACAAATAGTCATACTTTTACTTAGGTTAGGGCACCGTAGATAAATTTTATTTGAAAAAAAGGTGCCGCGACTAACAAATGTTTTGGAAACGCTGGCAACTGGCTACTCACATTTTCTGAATCTGAAGTTTACAATAAAACCATTTGGTACAGTAAAAAAAGAAAAGCATTCAAAATAACATATGCAGTCCACAGTGTTGCACCGTCCACTCACCGTATATATGGAGGAAAATGCAGTGGCTTACAATTGTGCAAAAAGCACAAACTTGTTGCTGTGACAAACATTAATCATCCCTATTCTCCATATTGTCGGCTCTGTGGCTAAGTCGATGCAAACTCTTCGTATTGCTGCGGGCCATGCACGTTGTGTTGGTTTCCACAGTGGTATCAAGAAAGCCGACCGTCCAGAAAGCAATAGCAAACTACTGGATGTAAATTTGTCTAGAAAAACCACACAACAGCCAGGGGCTGTTGGGGTTGGTTCTGCAACGCCCTGTAAAGGATACACAACTAACTAACTAATCCTCCATATTAACCAGAATTCAGAACACATTATTCACGCATATGGAGGAAAAACACTTTGAAACTTCACTTGTTTGAAAGTGTGATAGTCTCTATAAAGACACATAACTGTTCAGTTGTGAATGATTCATCCTATATATTTAAGTGTCTTCAATGTAGAATGCTTCTGAGTTCAAGACACACTGGTCTCCAAATTAACACAGCAAAAACAAAAATTATTGATCTTACCAGTAGTTCAGAGGACATCAAACTAAACAATCACATTCTTGAAAAAGTCGACAGCTTTACATACCTAGGGAGTAAGATGACATCTACAGGGGATTCAGTGCCAGAAATATAATTAAGCATTACACTGACATCTAGTGCCTTTTCCAAACTGTCAAATATCTGGAAGTCAAAGACTCAGCAAGCACATAAACCTTAAGATCTTCAAATCTTATGTGATCTCCAGTACTGAGTTATGGAGGCAAGAGTTGGACAGCAACAGGAGCTCTTGATGAAAAATTAGACAATTTTATATTGAGAACAGACGTCTTGGAAGAATAATGAATTAGAAGAATACTGAATCTGCACTGGACAGATTTCAGATCCAACACGCAAATAAGACAAGAGACCAAGCAAGAAAATGTATCAGATTTTTTAAAGAAAGCGCCGCTGGAATTACATCGGCCATGCACTCAGAATGGATAAGACAAGACTCCCCCATCAAGCCCTCATATGGATACTGGACGGGATAAGAAAATGGGGAAGACCAAGAGAGACTCTACGTAGAACCATCATCAGGGAAGGCTCAACTATGGGCCTAATGAATATCCAAGACCTAATTCAGGTGGCAACGGACCGCCAGATGTGGAGAGCTATGACATCTGCCTTATGCGTCACTTTAGGCTCAAGAGGAAAGACTAACTAACCAACTAATGGAGAGTGAGAAACAGCAACCGCATTTATACTATGTTTTAATCACCACTGAATACTGGCATCATAAAAGCTGAATTACTGCATTGGTTGAGGCAGATAAATAGAACAGCAGATAACAGAGATTCAAAAACTGTGAATACAAAATAGATGATTAGAAGTAGACCATGAGCCAGAAAAGGGAAATAGTGGAGAGATAATATATTGACAGACCTACAAACACATGCAGTCACCAACTGGAAAGAGAAGGCCAGTCACAAAGATGAATAGAGGGTTATATCTGCAGTAGTGAGCCTCATCTCTTTGAGTCCCAAGGAAGGCAGCACACACCTGTTGGTTACTACCCAGTCGGCGTGTGACATGTAGAGGTATTTAATTTACCACTGACCAGTACAAAAACACAAATCAGCAGTTTTGAATGGTCTTTCCTGTTCCTTATGTGCAATAACACATGTGTTGACCATTATGTTTATTCAGAAATGTGGTTAAAAGTGTAACTCACCAACAATCCCCGGTCACTTTGATATACAATATGTGTATGTTGCGTAACAGCCGAATTATTGCGGTCTGTTTTAATGTGTTGCACTTGTGACATTTCAAAACCATCCCTTGGTCCTCCGATGCTAAACACCCTGGGACTGAAAGAGTTAGAATGCTGCTGAAGAATAAGACAGTGTGGGTATCTTAAAAAGTGTTACATATAGTTGGATAATACAACTATTTTCTAATTGGTAATTTTGTTTTCAGGACCCCAAACTCAGTTGGACAGATGATTTGCCTGTTTGTCATTTATCAGGTGTAGGACTTTCTACCAATCAGATCTACAGAGAGGATGGGAATAGAAGGGAGGCTCATGACTTTGAAGATCGAAACTTTCATTTCAGGTATGAATGGCTTCTTCAAAAGGTAATGGTGAGAAAGCAGCTTGAAACATTTTTTTCTGTATTTTTTTAGACCATCATTAAAGATGGAACAATTCTGTTGGAGAATTAGTTTCTTCAACAACAAAAAACAAAACATTAAAAAACAATTTTCAGTGCTTTGATAAGTGTATATGTTGCCACATGTGTACTCAAAAGAGGGAAACTGTCTTCACTGCCTGTATTGACCACTTTTAGAGCAGTGTAGGACATCACGACCCGATGGTTTCAGGCAGCATGGCTGGTGCAGTCACCACGGACTATGCAGGTTAGGATATTTTTATTTTGCCCTAACAGAGAAAATCTCCACCCATTACTGAACTCTGATCTCCTGCATAAGAATGGGAGATTGGTCTCTAATCACTGGACCAGCCGTGCCTTTCTCAGCATGGTGATGTGTTCAGTACCACGCTATCAGATGTTTCATAGCAATGGAAGAGTAATGCTTATAGTTCAAGTCTCACATCCATACGGTAGGACGGCTGCGTGGTCTCGAGGCATGGCGTCCACCTTGAGTGCTGGAGGTCCCGGGTTCAAGCCCCGGTGAAAGCTGGGGGTTTTTCACGTGGACTTCCAGTAATTTCCCCTAGTCTCTGGGTAGTATGATTGGACGCCTGTGTATATTGCTACGCATGTAAAAAAAAAAAATCTCTTGGCAGATGGAAATCAAAAAGAGTAGCCTAAATACGCTGCCTAGGCAAAATTTGGTGTTAAAAATCTACCCTAAGTATTTTAGGATCCTCGCCGTTGTAACAGAGTTTGTGCACTGCACCATGATTCTTTAGACTCAGGTTTGAGTTAGAAGTAGAACGGAGCACTTATGGGTTACTACCCTTGTGCCATGATGTTGACCTGTCATCTAAATCTAATAGGACAGCTTTTATATTCTTTTTCTCACTGCATTTGACAGTTTGTTGTAGATCAGTCGTTATGCTTTGCCTGTGGAGCCGTTGTAGGGTAATGGCGAGATGTTCACCTTCCGCCTGGGAGTCTTGAGTTCAAGTCTGCATCGAGTCAGATTTTAAACAAAAAAATTCACTCTTCCTGAAATCTTCCAACCAGCCAGACTATTTCATTATTTACTTAATTCAGCATTATTTACTTAATTCAGCATTATTTACTTAATTCAGCATTATTTACTTAATTCCAACATTATTTACTTAATTCAGCATTATTTACTTAATTCAGCATTATTTACTTAATTCAGCATTATTTACTTAATTCAGCATTATTTACTTAATTCAGCATTATTTACTTAATTCAGCATTATTTACTTAATTCAGCATTATTTACTTAATTCAGCATTATTTACAGTTCAACTGATCCGTATACTTGTCCAAGTATGCATTAGCTATGCATTAAACTAATGAAAACTTACCTCTCCAGGCAAGATGGCTGCTTCCTGTATGGGGTTTTTGATGGTCACAATGGCTCTAGAGTTGCTGACTTTGCTGCTCAAAGGATGCCAGCAGAGCTCTTGTTTGGACAGTTGCAGTCAAATTATTCAGATGAAGAGGTGAAGGAGGCATTGAGACAGGTAGGAACCTGTAATTCAACGATGTGTGTGTATGTTTTTTTTTTTAAAGTTTTGTGGTATATGTAACATAGCTGAAAACTTTGTAATTAAAGTATTAATTGTTTAGCAGAATTTCTATTGATAGTCCCACATTTGACTAGATTATTTATAAATTAATCAACAACAACAGCATCAAAATTTAGGGAATTAGAAATGTAGTTGTACTAAAGAAGGCTTAAAATTGCCTGGATAGCCAAAATGAGTAATAATTTGAAAAAGGTTAAGACCTGAATACAATTTATGGAATATGTTGTGATAACTAGATATATTTAAGGAAAGGGAAATACAGGAAGACAAAATCGGCGTCCTCATAAATATCAATGTGCACTCACGCTTTCAATGACCCCTGGAATACTAAAGTGAGTCAGGGCTTAGTAGAGGGGAAGAGGCAGACTAAGAAACACCTGGGTACAGAACTTAATTGACTGGATAGGCCTTAGGTATGCAGTCATGAAATTCATTGCATCTGGCAGTCAGAGGTAGAGAGAGAGATCTTATCAGACAGTCACCAGCAGCTGGTAACCCAACGTCCTGCAGTGTTATGGGGGCGATGATGATGAAAGTAAGTCTGAACCCAAGACTTTCTTGCCAGCAAGCATGCATCTAGCCACTGCACTACCCTGGCTCCCACGCAAACTAATAACTTTGTAAGAATAGTATATGCTTTGAACAGGAAACCCCAGTGGTGTAGCAGTAAGACGCTCGCCTGCTTTCTTGAAGGCCTTGGATTGGAATCCGAATTGTCACTGATGAATTTTGTTTGTTGTAAAACTGACCTTGGCTTCCGTTTGACCCTGTCTAAAATGGCTGCCAGGCAATTTCCTGGGAGGTAAAGGCAGCCCGTGTGCTACTGACCACATCACCCACTGAGTGCAGATTGGTCTATAATTGTAAGAGCTGACCAGCTGGCAAGTAATGCATCAGTGGAAATGGGAAGAAGCATGGACAGAGCTGACATCGTCAATGTTGTACGGACTAGGCTGGGGGTCAGTGGTGAATCTGACGCTAACACGACTGCGCAACCGAGGATGTAAGCTTGGTGAATCATGACTATGCCGTCTGTGTGGTAAAGACAGGAGATATTGTAACCATCTCCTCATGGGAACAGTCATTAGAGGTACCTTGGAGTGGCTGCTACATCGGAGAGCTGACCCCGCATGGGGATGCCCAATGTGCAAAGACGTCTATTGTGATAACATAATAAAAGTAGGAGTCTACGACTGTAAGCCTGCTGTGTTAAAAAAAAGTTCCTTACTGACTTTACTCCTTTTTACTCTTTGCAAACTTCTGTATTGAATATCCACAGGCATTTATAGTCGTTGAGAAGGGCTACTTTGAAGACATGGACAACACACTGGCAAAGAGGTCTCAGTATCAAGACCAGTTACCAGAAGTAAGTGCTCGGAACTGTCAGACTGAATGACAAAATGTGATTATTTCATGACTATCTTTTCAGGTTTTCTTCCAAACGAACATACAACTCCATAGGTACAAACTTCAACTGCTCCAACAGACTTGAGAGAAGAAATATCATCTAGAATACAATCTGAAAAAAAAAAGTATACAGTGCCCTACAACTTCTGCTAAAAATCGCACACTCTCTCTTGTAAGACCAAGATCAAAATACATAAAACACTAATAAGACCAGTTGTCCTATATGATTCTGAAACCTGGAATGCAGCTAAAAGAGATGAAGCCTCATTACATATTTTTTTAAATGTCAAAGACAGAGAAGCAACAATGAAATTCATCATCTGTTTAAATCACCATTGATTATTGTGGCAACATGAAGGCTAATAGACTTAAATGGCTGGGGCATATAGAGAGAATGGCGGATGACAGAGAGGTAGACCAAGAAGACGATGAAGAGGTGATATACATGTAGACCTACACACACTTGGAGTCACAAAGAGAGAGCCAGTCACAGAGGTGAATGAAGGTTGATAATATCTGCAGCAGTGAACCTCAAGGGCTCAGAATGCTGATGAAGAAGTTTTTCATATCCAGTGGGTCATGGATGATTAGTAAACTAGCAACATCAAAAATTTGTTAAGGTGTCAGAAATGTGTTTTTAAAAACAATGCTTAAAATTCTTTGAACAGAAAAAGAAGTCATCTAAATGTTTAGAAAGAGGCCATGGTGTCGGTAGTCATATCTGTCCACGACCTTCTGTCTCGTGTATTTCAGTCAACTGACACAACTGATCCTCCATGCCATTCTGTCAGACTCTCCAGCATCTTTTCTCCTGGTCTCCCTCTGCATCTCTTCCCCTCCAACTTTCCTACTGTCATGATGTACTCCAGTTTTTTCTTTCTCATCACATGGCCAAAGAATGTAGACTGTCTCTTTCTGATGTGGGCAATCAGTTCTCTTCATAAGGTTAGGTTGTATTATTTCATCCTCTCACGTACTCACCAGAATCATGGATCTAGTCACTGTTCTTGTCTCACCCCTTCCAAATGTCTTAGTTCTTCTTCGCATTCTGCTTCTTTTTCTTCTTCTTTTACCTTTCTAGCCCCCAGTGGAGCATAGGCCCTAAACCAACTCACACCAAGTCATTGTATCGTTTTCTATCGCATGCAGCTGTCCTCATGTCCTCCCTGTCTTTGTAACTTCATTCTCCAGCTCCCTTCTCCATGTGTTTTTTTGGCTTTCCTTTATTCCTATGCCCCTGTGAGTTTCAGTGCAAAGACATTCTAGTTATATTGTTCTCGGGTTCTCTCAATGTGTGTCCTATCTTTTTCTTCACCTCTTTGTTCAGTGGAGCCTGCTTAGTTCTCTCCCAAAGCTCTACATTCGTGATTCTATCATACCATTAAATTCACTCTATTCTGAGCAGGCACCAGTTAATGAATGTCTGTAATTTATTAGTAATTGCCTTAGTTGTTCATGTTTCCGCTCCATACAAAAGCACTGATTTGTGTGATTTCAGGGCATCAGTGACTATGAAGCCTACAACAAATACCCAGGACTCATGAAAGGCCTGGAAGATCTGGACAAAGAAATCTCAGGAGGAACAACTGCTACAGTGGTCCTCATATACAACAACAAGCTGTACGTGGCCAATGTTGGTAAGTGCCAGTTTAGCTTTGTTTAAAACCTAGAAACCAATCAGATGTGCTCCAACCCTTGTCAGTTGTATGCTGACAATAGAGACGCAATCTGGCCTGTTCCAACCACAATGAAGACAAAGCTGTGTGTTAAATTTAAAGATATTTGCTGGACGATAGCTTTCATAAAGGTTACTGGCCTCCTGATATACGTTTTCTGGTAAAAGAATCAGAGGAGAGGTAGAAGAATCAGGTTTAATCTCTACAGTGAAAGTTGGCTACAAGCATGCTGTCTTTTGCCATCAATGTACGCTCTCTCACACTTCTGTTCATTCGCCTCTTGATGTTATCCTTCCACTTGCATTACTGTGTGCCTCTTGCTCACATGTTTTCAACTTTTCCTTACTGTGTGGTTTTTATGTCTTATATCTTAATATTCCTGATGGAGGAGCACCCCCCCCCCCCCCCTTTTCTCCCAGAAATGACCCCGACTCCCAGATCGACCCAGCCTTAAATAGGTACCAGGTAAATTCCTGGGAAGTAAAGCTGCCTGGTGCAATGTTGACCACCAAGTGCCATTTGATCTGTGAAATCTAAGTCTAGCCCTATATGCCCAATACACCTGAAGGCGTGGAAGGGGTCCTTTTTTTCTTTAAAAAGCTTTTATGTCTTAATGTAGCTGGAATATTTCAGTTGTCTCTTTTTTTATTTCTTTCGGCAACTCTGTTTTTATTTGTTTAGTCTTCTCATAACCTCTATATAAATTATTTCGTTATCAATTATATTAAATACAACCTATTCTTCTGTATATTCACATAACGTGGTATTAAATATGATTTCTAGTTGCTTTTCATTGTCTAGATCAATGATTCCCAAACTGTGCGCCAGGGAGCCGCAACCTCTTCACAGAGGCGCGACCTCTTCACAGAGGCGCGACCTCTTTACAGAGGCGCCTCAAAATATTTGAAGAGACACGAGGTTTATTTTTTTTAAATCTCTTACATACCAATAGTCATACTTTTACTTGGGTTAGGGAAACATTGTAATTGAAAAAGGAGCCGCGACTAAGACAAGTTTGGGAAACACTGGTCTAGTTCTCCGCACAGTACAGCAGGGCTGAGTATTCATAACAGTTGACAATTCTTTTTATTTTCTTAGTGTCTTGTTCATCTAGATGTCAGTGATTTGTGCATGCTGTTGAAGATATTTGAAATTGTTTAGAACCAAGAAATCATTTTAAATATGAATGGACTCTAGTCTAGTACCTGTGGCCTGTCCCAGAAACATTCGTCTTAGGGTTCCTATTGGACATCCTCATTTCCTCAGTCCATTTGTTTCTCATTTCAGTACCTGTGGCCTGTCCCAGAAACATTCGTCTTAGGGTTCCTATTGGACATCCTCATTTCCTCAGTCCATTTGTTTCTCATTTCAGTACCTGCTTATTAATTATCTGTCCACTTCTCCCCATGATGTCAACAGTATATTGTCATTTTTTTTCTTATGAATTTTGATAAAGAGTTTGTGCAGACATTTGTCTTATTTCTTTGCCTTTTTTTTCAAATTAATTCTTCCCATTTAATGCTCAACAGTTTCTAGTTTTAAACTTTCGCTCCATGTCTTTGGTGGTTTCCCCAACTTTCACTGGCATATATAAATATTGAAATTTCATTAGAATTAAAAAATGTCTAACTTGATTTTAAAACTATACAATTTAGAATTGCATATTGTGTTCAGGCTTTTAAATGCTGCTTCTGCTTGCCAGTGTTTGTCATAATTTTTTGCATGTAGACAGCAGGCTATAGAAATCTTTAATTAATAATTTACTTCTTCGCGTTCACCGTTTATAAACTCTGGCAGAAAGTTCTGATTTTTTGGGTCCACTTCTGGACTTTAGTCTTGTTCAAGAAGTTGATTTTGTGTGCACACCTGTTTTACAGGTGGAACTTTTTTATATGCAGACTGCTGGTTCCTTCGCGTCTCAAGCAGATGCATTCTGACTTCGAAGGGAATCCCTTATTAGTCTACTCTTACAACATGTTTGTTTGGAGGCAGTGGGTTTATTTCCTTATTCTCCCTTCTATGCTGCACCAGAATCAACACAGGAAGTCTAATTTTTTTTTAATGTACTTCATTTGGATTGCTACTTCATATTGGACATTGTGACTGCTACTTCATAATGGACATTGTGATTGCTACTCCATAATGGACATTGTGACTGCTACTTCATAATGGACATTGTGATTGCTACTTCATAATGGACATTGTGATTGCTACTTCATAATAGACATTGTGATTGCTACTCCATAATGGACATTGTGACTTCTTTAAAGATCATTTTGATTTTCTTAGGCGATACTAGGGCCATTCTATGCAAAACTGGACCAGATGGAGTCCTGCGGGTCATTCAGCTGTCATATGACCACACCATTTCTGACCCAGGAGAGCAGGCCAGACTACAACAGTTGGGCCTTGATATCAATACACTGAAAGTATTAAGGAAAGTGGGGAACTCAGATTGTACCCGCTGCATTGGGGATTACCACATGAAGGGAGGCTATAAGGACAATTTTATTCTGAGGTTTGTGGTACTGTCATACTGTCTGTTTTACCACATTTTAGAGCGGTGTAGACAGGGAGGCCTTAACTCTTTGAGTCCCAGGCCCAAGAGGTAGTCAAGAGAGTCATAAAATCGGCGCATCATGCGCTCATTGGGCTTCTGGGTAGGAGCCTATGAACGTATGATGTGTTCCTTCTCAAAGAGTTAAGCCTGAGGATTTAGGGTTGCTTTGCTAGTGCTGTCACCACAGACTCTGCATGTTAGGATGTTTAATTTTGCCCTAACAGGAAAAACTCCATTGCCTTACTGAGGGGTCGAACTCAGGTCTCCTGCACGAGAGTCTGACATTGAAACTGCTCGGCCAGCCTCTCCCCGGTTTGTAGTACTAATGAATTTAAATCTAACATGTAATAGAAAAAGTAGAGGACCCTTTTCCATATTGTCAGACATATTGGGCATATAGGGCTAGACCTATATTTTATAGACCAATTGTCACTCAGTGGGTGATGTGTTTAGAATCTCATCTCGCCAGGCACCTCTACTTCTCAGCTAGCCACAACACCACGGTAGCTTCCCTAACATGCAGATGCCCGAACAAAAAAAAATATTCTGTGCAATCTTTCTTTGTCACTTGAAGCGAAAAAGAGAATTCTCAACAGCCTCCTAAATGCTATCCTGATATATGGAAGTGAATCATGATCAGTCGACCAATAAGGGAAAAATTATGTGCAAGCAGTGGAGGATTGGTTTCATAGAAAAATGACGAGTCCCTGGACGAATGAACAAAATTTTTTATGTATATATATAAAAGAAAGAAAAAAAAACAGACTCCTAACCAGAACTGATTGCTCGAATCATAGGGAGACAGTCTACATTCTTTGGTTATACCATGAGAGGGAGAAGACTGCAGTACATCGCCTCAGTGAGAAAGCTGGAGGGGAGAAAAGACAGAGGGAAACCAAGAAAGAAGATGCTGGACAGTTTGACAGCATAGCATTTAAGGTCATCTGTAGTCATAAATGGTTGAAAGTACACAGCACAGATTGTTGGCGATAGATATGGCAACCAACTCCTCACAGCATGGACTTTAACTCTTTGCATTTGAAGAAGTTGTTACTTGAACTAATGGTTGCTTTTCTCTGAGGCAATTAAAATAATTAAACTTTGAGGTAGAAGATCTAAATAAACAACTGATGCAGAATGGGTGAATATAACAAATAGATGAGCTCATGTAGGTCACAAAGGCAGATAATGAAAATCGACAAACGCAATTTGCTTTCCTTGGTGCATAAAGAATTAAGAAGAAGATGTGAGACATTGATCACTTTCCCTCCATTACCAAACCACCACAAGCCGATCGATTACACCTCATCATCATCAAGTGCCTTGCCATCTGGTGTGGGGTGATTCTGCCTTTCCACAGCCTGTGATCTCCGACAACCTATCAGTCCGTGTGCTGACACCCCTCCTTGCTATAATAAAAGGCTGTCAAGGAATCTTCTCATGTTGTCTTTCTCTGTCTCTCTTTCCACAAATGTTTGCAGTTGTAACAACATATTCCAGTTTCCTTTTTCTTCAAACATGGCCTAAAAGGATGACCGACTCCTTTTGATATTTGTCTCTTACTCATACTATTACAAAAACATGAATCGGTCAGGTTGTACAATACTGTCTTCTTCTTCTTCTTCGCACTCTCCAGCTGCAGACTCTGATGTAAAGTTCTGATTGTTCGTCCACTTCTTGACTACAGTCCTTTCCAAAACCTGAGTGTTGCATGCACATCTGTTTTACAGATCTGATTCACGTGTGTGTAGTCTGTTGGTTCCATGCCTCTCAGGCAGATGCACTCCCACTTTGAAGGAAGCCCCCAGCTAGTCAACTGTTACGACATGCTTTTAGGTAGGCAGTGGGTCTGTTCTTGTTTTCCCCACAGTGGGACCCCGGAACCCACACGGGGAGGTTAGTAAGTAAAGGATCCTTTCCACGCCAGTGGTGCATCAGCCATGTGATGCCAGACATATATTTGTATAGACCAGTCGGTACTCGATGGGTGATGTGGTCAACATCACACCGGCCACCTTTACTTCCCAGGACATTGCCTGGTACCACTTGTAGACTGGTTTAAGATAGGAAGTCATTTTGAAGAGAGAAAAAAAACTGGATCGATGCAGATTCAAACCCAGATTCAGAAACATGCAGAACAAATGTTTTTATATCAGTTACTATCTACATTATCTTATGAAAACTATGTTTTGGCCAACACTATGCTATCAGTGCCAAACGTGGACACTTACATCCTCCAATGAACGTAAAATTGTGACAACAGAGATGAAATACCTTAGAAGAGTTGAAGGTGTTTCAAGGAAAGACAGAATACGAAATCATGAAATCAGACGAATGCTAGGAATAAAGCCAGTCTTACAGGTCATCAAAGAACAACAGATGAAGTTGTTTGGACACCTAACAAGAATGCCCTCTTACTATCTGCCACAGCGAGCCACACTAAAACGTTACAACGGGTATAGAGCGAGTGGAAGACCTCGGAAAATATGGAGTGATGGCACTAAGAACAGCCTTACAGAAATGAACATCAGTCTTAATAGTGCTCTTGACAGAGCTCATCAACGAAAATTACATCTCCCCCCGACACTTTGGTAAGGTACAAGGTGGAAGAAAAGAAGAAGAAGAACTGTCTACATTACCTGAGCATCATTAGTTAGTTGTATGTTGATTAGTCAGTTGCCACCTGACCAGAACACTTTGAAAACTCATAAAGGATATGGGGTTTTCCTGTCTTTGTCTAACTCATTTGATTGTAAACATTTTTCATACATAATTGAAGTTTTGCAAAGAATTTTTAAAGACTGTTGATAAAATCTGTTAGTTTTAAGGAAATATTTCACAAATATAATCAAACGAGAAACAATACAGATTATGGCAGTTGCTAGCCACAATAAATGCAATGATAACAGTGGTCCTGAAGTCTGACTATGCTCTAATGTGGAAGACTTCTTATAACATGAGTGGGTCTTACTAATCACAGACCCCATCGCCCTGGGCTGTCATTCCAATGCCTCCATATAGCACAGTTTAACACAATCATATGGGAAGATTCAAGATGCCAGCGGGAGCCATGACTAATGGCTTCCCATCATCATCATCATCATTGAGTTGCTTTCCAGATGGTGTAGTTGTATTTTCACAGATCTTATCCTTTGTGCATCCTGGGTCTTATCTACCACTGATCATTCCACTGGTCACAGTGTTCTTCAAACCTCTCTTATCACATGACTCAAGTACACTGTTTCTTTCTTTGGCGCATGGGGCATAGGTTCTAGACTCACAATATAGGGGGCTGTGGGGTCTCAAAGCATGGTGTCCGCCTCAAGTGCTAGAGGTTTCGGGTTCAATCCCCGGCAAGGGCTAGAATTTTTTTTTAGTTGGACTTCTAGTAATTTCCCCCCCCCCCCCCCCGGTCTCTGGGTAGTGAGATCGGACGCCTGTGTGCATTGTTGCGCAGGTAAAAAATCCCTTGGCAGTTGGAAATTGAAAAGAATAGCTTAATGGCGCTGCCCGGGCAAAATTTGGAGTTTAAAATCTACCCAAATTATTTCAGGATCCTTACCGGTGCTACGGAGCCTGTGCACTTTGCTGAGCTTCTTCAGACTCAGACAAGTTAGAAGAAGAATGGAGCACTTATGGGCTACACCCATGTGCCATGATGTTAATCCGTTGTTCAAAACAAAAGAAACATACAAGTTCAAACTCATATTTGTAAAGACCAGTCGACAACTGTTGGGTGATGTGAATGCAATATTCCTGCCACTTTTTTCCCAGACTGATACCTGTAACCCATTTGAGACTGGGCCGACCTAGTAGCCTAGGTCAGTTAAAAAAAAAAATTGTCTCGTGCAGTTTAAAACTCACACCCTTCAGGCCTGCAGGCATATGCCTAGTCACTACGACTTCCTGATTGAAATATGCTAGGCAATAAATTGTGCACATTTATTTTATCATTATTTTTACACATGAGGTTTTACCAGCAGTTTTGACTCCACAGCATTCACCCATTCATCCATTACATTAACACACTGGGTGTTTGTTTATCGAACAGTGCAGCCAAAGTTGAACCAGTCATCGCCGACCCATTCGTGGATGGGGGACTGCCGATAGACAGCTCCTGTGCTTTCATGGTTTTAATGTCTGACGGCTTGTACCAGGCTTTGGCCGATGCCACAGGTACAGATACAGTGAACGGAGACATTGCTAAGATGGTCGCCCAAGAGTTCTCCCAGCAGACGACACTGACCGGCGTCGCTCAAGCTGTGGTAGACAGGGTGGTGCGTATCCACCACGATACATTCATGACCGGCAACGAAACTCAGAAGGCTCTGTGCCAGAAACGGGATGATATAACCCTGCTGGTAAGAAACTTCAACTACCCGCTGTCAGTCCACAGCCCCAGTTCAGTCCGCAGTATTTCATCGCCAGCACACACCCCGTCCTACAGTGTGGCCCATGGAGCTTCCGGCTTCCCCCATGGGGCTTCTTACAACAGTCCAGAGTCCACCAGACAGCGCACCACGGACAGCTCAAGCGCGGATTCCCCGACCACGCCGACTAACTACTTCCTGTCAGGGCCGAATCTGCTGGGCGCCACAGACACGAATAGCACGGATACACGTACAAATGGTAGCAGCACATACAGCACCAACTCCAGCGGGGAGATGCAGTTGTTTTCTCACACTCAGTCACAGAATGACAAACTGGAGCTGGATGCTGAAGGGAAGGTAGGATATTAATTTACTCGCTGCCGAGAAACCGTAAATTTGCCGAGTCATTTTCATTCATTTATTCATTGTCCTGTTGCGCTTGTGTGTGTCACCTAGGGCTCGCAGTCTAATATAATATTCCACTCTGTTCTGTCCTGGGCAGTCACCTCGATATCATGGGTGGAAGCCAGTCCAGCATCTTTGGCCCCTCTCAACAACATCCACTTAGCAATTTCTTTTGGGCGTCCTCGCTTCCATAATCCATTTGTTTCCTTTTTCAGTGCCTGTTTGTCTTTTCTAAGAATGTGTCTAATATACTGCCATCTTCTCTGTCTTGTAACTGTTGATATTAGTGGTTGCCCAGACATTTTTCTGTTTTCTTCGCTTCTCTTGGAATCATCCCATTTTATGGTCATCATGTTCCTCAGGCATTTGTTTTTAAATGCATGTAACTTTCACTCCAAGTATTAAGTAGTTCTCCAACTTTCACTCCAAGTATCAAGTAGTTTTCCAACTTTCACTTCAAGTATTAAGTAGTTCTCCAACTTTCACTCCAAGTATTAAGTAGTTCTCCAACTTTCACTCCAAGTATTAAGTAGTTCTCCAACTTTCACTCCAAGTATTAAGTAGTTCTCCAACTTTCACTCCAAGTATTAACTAGTTCTTCAACTTTCACTCCAAGTATTAGGTAGTTCTCCAACTTTTACCGGCATATGTTAAAACTGAAATAGCTTTAAACTGAAAATACATAACTTTAGTTCTAATGGTTCTAAAACTGAATGTTGAATTGAGAATTGACATCACAGCACTCGGGACACCCCATAAGCGCTCCATCCCCATCTTCAGCAGCAAGCGAAGAATTGGTTCTAAAACTATAGAATTTAAAGTTCCATATTTTGTTGAAGCTTTTTAATGCTACTGATGCCTTGTCAATGCGTTTCATAACTGCTTTCTTTGCTGGATCATACTTACCTCATATATAGATCACACCAGCAGTGGTATATGTTAGTTATTTTTTATCTAAGTATAGTCTAGTTTTCAAATAAAGATTTTTCATTTAAAACGAATACCTCCATAAATGCTCCATCTCCTCCCAAAGATATTTAGTTTTGTTTAGTTTTACAACAGATCAACAGCATGGCACAAGAGTAGTAACCCATAAGTGCTCCGCTGTACTTCTAACTCAAGCCTGAGTCATCTCAGCACAGTGCACGAACTCCGTAGCACCGGTAAGGATCCTGAAATACTTTGGGTAGATTTTTAACTCAAAATTCTGCCCGAGCAGCGCCGTTAGGCTACTCTTTTCAGTTTCAACTCCCAAGGGATTTTTTTTAAACACGTGCAGCAGTACACATGGGCGTCCAATCTTACTACCCAGAGACCAGGGGGAAATTACTAGAAGTCCACGTTAAAAAATCCTAGCCTTCACCGGGGCCTGAACCCAGGACTTCCAGGACTCAAAGCGGACACCATGCCTTAAGACCCACAGAACCCCCAACCCCCTTCTTCCCACAAGATAACACAAGAAGAATCACTGCAAAGTTGACAAACTCCAGAGTGTCAGCAAGGACCCAGATGTGCTTAATCTAGAAAGATAAATGTGACAGTCTCTCTCTCTCACCTAATTTATCTCTCTCTCTCTCTCACACACTCTCTCTCTCTCTCTCTCTCTCTCTCTCTCTCTCTCTCTCTCTCTCTCTCTCTCTCTCTACTCTGATTTTGAAATTTGCCTGCACTGCGGCTAATTCAGCCTGCCTTTTTTAATGACGATACAGATCCTCCATTCTTTTTTTTTGTCTTTTCTCTGAGAAGGCTAGAGACTTTATTTACTGCCAAGGTTCAAGATAAGTATACCATACTAATTCCTATTTAATAAAAATGTATCAGTCAGCACCATAAGGCGAACAAAGTTGAGCAAACACTGTTACCTCTAATCTACTCCAGCTAAATTTAGCTAATTTTAGTCACAAAATACGTTAGTGTCTTAGTCCTGACAAATTTATTGTTAATCTTAATAACCTTTCAAATGTGATATTGTTTCAGGTTAAGGCCTATGTGAATTTTTCTGAATGGTACGCTGCAATGGAAAGTTTCACTGAAGACATGAAAGAAAATCTTTACAAGGAGCTGATGCCCAAGTCAGTATATGATCCCATTCAAGAAGAACCTTTGTCCGAACATTAATAAAGGAGAAATATACCCAGAGTTTGTTAATTCTTTTTTTTTTTTTTTTTTTTTTTGCGTTCACTGGCTGTAAACTTCAGGCGAAGGTTCTTGGTATTTGACAGCCTCCGGATTTTTAGTTCCAGAACCGTAGTATTACATGCACATCCATTCCACATATCTGGCTTATTTGTATGCAGACTCTTGGTTCCTTATCTCTCAGGTAGATGTACTTTGACTTCAAAGAATGCACCCATGCCAACTGTTAGGACATGCTTGTTTGAGAGGCAGTGGGTCTCTTCTTCCCCCCCCCCCCTCTCCCCCCACCCTTCAACTCCGGAACCCACATGGGAAAAAACAGTTAGGAAGTTGAACTGTCGTGTCAGTGTCTGTATGTTCAGTTTGTCAGCTGTTAAGTTGATTGTTTATATGCACAGTATTTCAATTCATAACAATCAAGGATGATTCAAAAGAATGTTTTCAGTTATAAATATAAATTATGCTGATAAAAGCAATATATTATACAATTTAAAACCAGGCATATTTATGAGTATATTGTCTAGTGCATTACTAATGAGTTAAATCAACAAATAATGAAACACAAAAACAAAAAGAACATGTGATACTTTAAAACTGCCATGGTAATCACGTGGCTAATCTTGAATTTCTGGCTGAGAGATGTACACTGTGACTAGACATTGTGATTTGTGTATTTCAGGGAAAAGGATTGATTTGTGTGTTTTATTATATGTCACTTTAACTCTGTGGTAAATCAACTTCAACTTTTGTAAATCAAGGATGAAGAAATGTAAAATGACATAAACTCTGAATATCAGGCTCCATAATTGTTTAACAGAAGTTAAAGGTAGGATAGAGATTGTTCAACAGAAGTTAAAGGTAGGGTAGAGATTGTTCAACAGAAGTTAAAGGGAAGGTAGAGATTGTTCAACAAAAGTTGAAGAGGGGGTAGAGATTGTTCAACAAAAGTTAAAGGTAGGGTAGAGATTGTTCAACAGAAGTTAAAGGGAAGGTAGAGATTGTTCAACAAAAGTTGAAGAGGTGGTAGAGATTGTTCAACAAAAGTTGAAGGTAGGTAGAGATTGTTCAACAAAAGTTAAAGGTAGGGTAGAGATTGTTCAACAGAAGTTAAAGGTAGGGTAGAGATTGTTCAACAGAAGTTAAAGGGAAGGTAGAGATTGTTCAACAAAAGTTGAAGGTAGGGTAGAGATTGTTCAACAGAAGTTAAAGGTAGGGTAGAGATTGTTCAACAGAAGTTAAAGGGAAGGTAGAGATTGTTTAGCAGAAGTTGAAGCGAGGGTAGAGATTGTTCAACAGAAGTTAAAGGTAAGGTAGAGATTGTTCAACAGAAGTTAAAGGGAAGGTAGAGATTGTTCAACAGAAGTTAAAGGGAAGGTAGAGATTGTTTAGCAGAAGTTGAAGCGAGGGTAGAGATTGTTCAACAGAAGTCAAATGGAGGATGGCCTCATCAAAGATTAAACAAAAGTTAAAGTTAAGTTATGGCTAAGCAATCAAAAATGAGAGTCAAGATTTGGAAATCTTGCCTGTTGCAGCATATTCATGCGAGTCATGGACTTACATTATATTGAAGTCCATCCCTATGGAGAATGCATAAAAAAATTTTATTAGCCCCACCCTAGCTGGGGTCGGGGTCCCTAATTACAAGGCATGTTTTTTAAGGTCCTGGTATAAACCTTTTTTTTTAAAACCATCATATATAAAAATTATTTATTGCAGCCAAAACCATACATTTAAATTATTTTCCAACGTTGTCACCATTGACTTCAACACATTTTTGGTATCGTGGCACCAGGTTCTGCTAGCGTTGGATAGGACACACATTTAGAAAACCTGAGAACAAAATAACTAGAATGTCTTTGCACTGGAACCCGCAGGGTCAAAGAAACAAAGGAAGACCAAAAACATGGAGAAGGGAGCTAGAGAGTGAAGCTAAAAAGATGGAGACAGCTCCATGCGATAGCGAAGGATAGAGTGAGTTGGATGAGGGTGTATGCTCCATTGGGGGTTAGAAAGGCAGAAGAAGAAGTGGGTCTATTCTCTGCTCCCAAATATTGGGCCCCGGTGCCCACATGGGTAAGGCTTGACCCTGATCTATGTGATTAAATTTTTATACAATCAAGACGCACAGTGTCTAGGCAAGTGTGCATTTCACTGTTTTAGCAGAAATCCTACCATAAAGATACTAACACACAGAGGTGAGAAACACCTCAATCAAAGCAGCAGTTCTCCATGTTGGTTCTGAGGCTCCATTTTGGGAAGAAGCAAAAGAATAGACCCACTGCCTCCCTAAAATATTTGTCTTGAAAGTCTAACAAATAGGGGTTTCCTTTTAAGTCGGAGTGCATCAGCCTGAGAGGAACTAACAGTCTGCATATAAATAAGTGAGATCTGTAAAATGGATGTGCATGCAAAACTCAAGTTCTGGGTCTTGAAGTGGAAAAACAACAAGATTTTACAGCAGTGAACACAAACAAAAAGAAGATAGCAGCAATAAATCATCATCATCAACAATCAGCAGGTCCTTTACAAAATGTCCCGTCTTCACGGCCCATCTGAAAATCTCTTTCAATTTTCCAGCCCTCTGTGCTTTCCATAGCCAGTGTGTCTTCAGTGTGTTGTATCCACCTTCATAGAAGGCCTGCCTCTGCCTCATTTTCTGAAAACCGTACCCTCCATCACCGCTCTCTCCTGGAGGCATGGCAGAATGTTACGCTTCAGGGTTGTTTTTGCTTCCGACAGCTCTTTGCTAATGCAATTTCCACATTTGGACGATAGTCTATGGTTTCGCTGCCTGAGCTACTGAGTTAAGTGTTTGATGCAGCCTTGTGAGATGTGTTTTTTCTGTGGAATGCCTTTCATTTGTGCAGCAGTTATGTCATGGTGTTCAATATGGCTGGTAGTCAGTTTTCGTGTGAGCTGGTGGAATACCATACGCAGTAATTCTGCGTGTGTATGGCCAACTTGTCCTGCCGGACTACTTCCATCAACAACAAACTGCTTTCTGGTGGCAACTACTGGCAGCTGAAATGTGCATTTGCTGTATGCGAATATTTCTAGATTGTTCCGGGACATTGTTTGTTCACCAGGTTTTCAAATGCAATAGTCGGGGGATATTTTATTTTATTTGCACTGGCACAAGAACGGAGCCAGTATGTGGAAACTTTACTGCAGTGAAGTTTAAACCTCAATTAAGACAAAGACCGCTCTCTTCAGATCACCATGACGTTTAACATGGCCAGAATACCTCAATCCCCTTTCCTTGTCTTGTGTCATATGGGGTATATGATGTTATTCCCATATTTTTATAGATTTGATATTTGATGGGTTATCTGGCAAATGTAAATGCTGTCTGTGTTTACTTCTTAGAGCTTTTACCTAGTACCTATTTTAGGCGGGGTCGACCCAGGAGTCCACCTCAAATCACTGAGCATAAAGGAATTGAACACATGAGCAGTATCAGGTTGGCATAAATACCAGCCACTGTGTTAACACAGCACACACAACAATGTCCCAGAAGAAGTGCTCAAGGAAGTAAAAGCCACCATCATGGGTGCATTACTTTCAAATAGGCTGCTCATACTGGAAGCACCCACTGTAGGCGCTAGATTTTCTTTATCATGCTCTGAAAGAGTTCTTAAAAGCTATATAAATCATACCTTGATATATGGAAGTGAATCATGGATAGTTGGTTGATTAGTGAAAAATTGTTTTGGAGATGTGGTTTTACAGACAAATGATGAGAATACCCTGGACAGATAAGATGTCTTGAAAGAAACTGACTCATCAAGAGAACTGACCACCCATATCAGCAAGAGACAATCTACATTCATTGGTCATGTGACGAGGAGAAAACTAGAGTACATTGTGACATTAATAAAGTTGGAGGGGAGGAGAGGCAGAGGGAGAATATATTGTGACAGTAATAAAGTTGGAGGAGAGGAGAGGCAGAGGGAGAATACATTGTGACAGTAATAAAGTTGGAGGAGAGGAGAGGCAGAGGGAGAATACATTGTGACAGTAATAAAGTTGGAGGGGAGGAGAGGCAGAGGGAGAATACATTGTGACAGTAATAAAGTTGGAGGGGAGGAGAAGCAGAGGGAGAATACATTGTGACAGTAATAAAGTTGGAGGGGAGGAGAAGCAGAGGGAGAATACATTGTGACAGTAATAAAGTTGGAGGGGAGGGGAGGCAGAGGGAGAATACATTGTGACAATACAGTTGGAGGGGAGGAGAAGCAGAGGGAGAATACATTGTGATAGTAATAAAGTTGGAGGGAAGGAGAAGCAGAGGGAGAATACATTGTGACAGTAATAAAGTTGGAGGGGAGGAGAAGCAGAGGGAGAATACATTGTGACAGTAATAAAGTTGGAGGGGAGGAGAAGCAGAGGGAGAATACATTGTGACAGTAATAAAGTTGGTGGGGAGGAGAGGCAGAGGGAGAATACATTGTGACAATACAGTTGGAGGGGAGGAGAAGCAGAGGGAGAATACATTGTGACAATACAGTTGGAGGGGAGGAGAAGCAGAGGGAGAATACATTGTGACAGTAATAAAGTTGGAAGGGAGGAGAGGCAGAGGGAGAATACATTGTGACAGTAATATAGTTGGAGGGGAGGAGAGGCAGAGGGAGAATACATTGTGACAGTAATAAAGTTGGAGGGGTGAAGAGGCAGAGGGAGAATGAGAGAACAGATGCTGGACAGTTTGACACCATGACATGGAGGGTCATCTGTGTCAGAAACTTGTTCACCACTGCCTCATGTAAAGAAATTCTAATTTAAATCTCCCTGCTGGTGCTTAACCATAGACTTATAAGGCTGTTCAATCTTTGCATTGCTAAGGCCATCCTCCTTTAAATTTCTGTCAAACAGTTTCCATTGCTGTTTATTATAAAGCCTAGATATTCAAAGTTTGTAACTGGAAGAGTTAAATTATAACAAATCAAAAAGCAACAAACAAGTATTTAACAAAACAAGAAGTG